TACACCATCCCTGGAAAAAAAAAAAAAAGCAGCTGCTGAAAAGCAGATATTTTCCTGTCTCTAAAAATAAAATGCTGGCAACACTTCACGTCCCCTGTGCCAAGACCTGGCGCTTCCCAGGACAAACAATGTGGCCAAGCTGATAGAGGCAAACACGGAGTACTGAAGTGAGTCTGTGTCCAGCTGGAAATGTAGAGGTCAGGGCCCTCACAGCTATAAAAGCCAGCCACTGCCCCACCTGGGGCCAGGTGTGCCGAGAGGAAAGGCCTCAGCTTACCCTAGAGATCTTGACCTACCAAGGTCATGGAGCCCTCCAACAAAGGCCTGCCCACCCCTAGAGGGATGGGATGCACAGCAGCAGACATGAGCACCTTAGAGAAAACACCATGTGCTCCACCTGCTAGACTTGGGCCTCCCCAAAACCACCTGACCAGAAGAGCCGTAGAAGAGTAGCCAGCATTCTCAAATGCTCCCAATTCTTCAATGCTCCACAGCACACGTTCAAGCCCTGTGCCTTCTCCTTAGTGTCTAAATCTTTCCCTTCATACCATAATCTTGACTTTCTGCTGGTTTAGAGTCTCACCAGGGTAAGAGAGATCTAGGGGAGGAGAAGACCTAAATATAGCAAATACTCACCAGCATAATCACCCCAAAAGTATGTTTCAATGGAAGAGTGCTGGGCTGACACCTAAGATGTCACTCACCTAAGTGTCACTTCACCAATAAGTCTGTATGAGTCCACTCTCCTGCAGCAGCAGAGTGACGTCTGCTCACGCTATTAATATTTATGAAGTCATCGTCCTTGGAAGACTGCATTTTTCGGGGTAAGAAGACTTCAGTGAAAAAGTTAAGCAGAACTTCCCCTGAAATCGTGGCATACTCACCATAACTCTTCAGAGCGCACTCCATGGAAAGGAAAAGAAAAATGATAGGGAGAGAGAGAGAGAAAAAAAGAGAGGGTGGAGGGGGAGAAGCAAAGCCCCTATTCTAAAAGGCTGCTACACATAGCAGTGCTAGCAATATCATTCGTGCCTGGCAAGGCTCCTGCTCCAAAACCTGACAGCCTTCTCTGGGGTGGGTGTGGGGCAGCCCACCGCCAGGACCTCCGTTCACCCAGACCGGTGTGATGCAGGACCCCATGCACACCCAGTCATCATCCAAGCTCAGATTCCCCCCACACTCTCCGAGCATTCTCAGCTGGTCTCTTAGTAATAGGGAAAAATGTACACCTCACCCCAACACTAGGCTCATTTGAAAAGAATTCCCAGAATGTGACGATGTGTGCCTGGGCGTCTCTCTGGGCATGTATGCAAAGCCTATGGTTATTTTTTTTCTTAGTTATTCCTCCTAACTGCATCAGGAAGGGCACCCCAGGAACTGCACTTCAGAAACCCTGCCCGCACCCATAAGCTCTTCTAGTGCTCTGTGTGCTGTAACAAGCACCCTTTAAAATACCTTGTGGTTCCAGGGAGTCCCAGTCCCTCCCCTCCTTCTAGACACCCCAGATCAGTGACTCTCAAGCACTGGCTCCACTATACTAGATGCTAGTTTTCACGTCACTTTGCAGTTCATGTGTTTTTCCTCTCCCAAAGCACTGAAGCCCTGGCTCAGGCTCACAGTGCCTGCTTCTTTCGTCCAGATGGCCTTGTGCCTGGGCCAGCTTCTCCTGCAGACCTCGCGCAGCCCCTGCTACATCAAGACAGGTCTGGCTCTGCGGAGAAGCATTGATGATCGCTTGGCTCCCACCTCCAGGAAGTCTTGCTCCACGGAGGAGTGAGTCATGGCTGTCTTGACCATCCTATCTGGGAGGGCCAAGGCTGCCCTGTGGGCTCTGCTCTGTGCCACCCACCTCCCTGCGCCCGTCCCGGGCCTCTGCCAGGACAGCCTGAGTCATAAAACTCAGCGCATTCCTGAGGCGTTGGATAGTCTTTCCTTGTTATTGCTTTGCCTTTGTTTTATGCAGCACCTGGTTTCGTTTTAAAACCCCAAGTAAAATTACAAGGTTGAGGCAAGGAAAGAAAGCAAAGGAAAAGAACAGAGACAGACACAGAGATAGAGACAGACAGAAAGAGACAGACAGAGAGGGGAAAGAAAAGGAAGAAAGGGAGAAAGAAAGAAAGAGAAAGGGAGGGAGGGAGGAAGAGAAATTAAGAAAGAAAAGAAGGAAAAGAGAAAGAGGAAGAAACTAAGGTGAGTGAAAGTTATGCAAGGCAGGAATGAATGAATGCAGTTTGACCAGAATCCTCTTTGTTACCTAGAAGCAGGGGGAAAGGCAAGTTCCCGCCCCTCTCCTCCCTACACTACATTAGCTGGTTCTCAGAACTGTATTCACCAGCCCGGTGACCTTGCCTAAGTCCTCTCACTGTCCTCAATAAATTGATCAATTCTAAGGAACTTTCCAGGTATAGCTCTCCATGATTCCTCAAACTTGCTTGCTCCCTTCTTCTAGGACAACAAATCCTAGCTCTTCTTTTGTTTTCTTTTATTCTGACTGCCCCTCCACCCCACCCCGGGGGTTAGAGGCTTGGGGAGCAGACACGGGAGAAGACAGAGACCCAACCCCACTAATGCTGCTGATCACCGCGCTGAATCTGTGTGGTTATTTCTATAACTTCATCTGTAAAGTGGTAAACATGGGTCTTTTTTTGGAATTGAAACAGAACTCCAACAAACTATGCCTCGCATCCAGCGCCAGTCAAATACAGAACAGATGCCATGAGGAACGCTGGGGTCACCGGGCACAGTAATTATAGCCCCGACCCCGAGCCTCAGGTACTGGACTCCGAACCTAAGCAGGGGCCCTGGCCGCCCTCGGCTGAAGACGCCCAGCCAGGCCGGCGGGCAGAAGCGCTGGAGGTTCCCGAGCGGCTCCAAGGATGCATTTTCCATGCATGGTTTTGGCGAGCCTAATGGAAACCATATGAAGAGTTCCCGGGAAACAGACCAGATGGCTCTCAGGGAACGGGTTTGGTCCAACCTGGAGCTAAAGAACCGAAGTAATCACTAGGACCAGGGGCCAGCTGCGGGTGGCACAACTTCAGTCTTTTCTATTGAGCACCAATCGCACAGTGAGGGTGGTCGCTGAGGCTCACCCTGTAACCCCGGCCACAGGAGCGGCGGAGCTCCAGTCGATCCCGGGTCAAGCAAGCCTAGGGGAGACCTCAGTGAGAACAAGCGGGGCCTGGCCCACGGCCGCGGGCGCCTGCGCGCGGGAGGCTCCCGGTGAGCACGCGGCGGGGCAAAGACGCCGGGCTCCTCCTGAAAAGTGACTGAAGCAAGAGGCTGCAGCGGGGACGGGGACGGGCCCAGGGACACCTACAGAGGCCGGACCCCAGCCAGGAGGGAGGGAAGGACCACAGAGAACAGTCTCTGGTAGAGGAGAGTAGAGGAAACAGGCTGGGGGTGGTCCGGGATTTCGTCGGGATGGTGAAGGAGGGTGTGGCCACCTTTGAAGACCATAAGCGATGGCTACAGGTCTAAACAGCCGCTGTGAAGGCCAAGCTGCCTGGGTAGAGGCGGCTCCGCCCCCACCCCGCCCGCCGGGCACTAGCCCCGCCCATCCCAAGCCCCGCCCACAGAGAGCTGTCCGGGCAGGGGTGGCTCCGCCCCCCGCAGGGCACTAGCCCCGCCCATCCAAAGCCCCGCCCCTCAGAGAGCTGTCCGGGCAGGGGTGGCTCTGCACCCGGCAGGGTACTAGCCCCACCCACCCAAGCCCCGACCCACGGAGGGCTGTCTGGGCAGGGGTGGCCCCGCCCCCGCAGGGCACTAGCCCCGCCCACGCCAAGCCCCGCCCTCCCCCTTGGGCAGCTGCCTGGGCAGGGGTGGCTCCGCCCCTTCAGAGGATCGGCCCCATCCCGGGGAGCCCCGCCCCACTCACCCGTGCTCCCCGCGGGCCCGGCTGGCGGGCGGCAGTGTGCACGTGCACGCGCGTGCACACACACACACACACACACACACACACACCCCGGGCAGGTGATCAGTGCGCGCGCGCACACGCACATACCCCAGGCGGGCAGTGGAGGAAGACGTGGAAGGGAAGGAGAAGGCGAGGAGCGCGGTGGGGCGGGAGCCAGGCGCGGGGACACCACCCTCCCACGTGGGGGGGCGTCCCGCCCCCGCCCCCCCTGCCCCCCCGCCGCGTGGCCGGAGGAAAACCCGGCTGGGACGCTCCGCTCTGGCAGAACAAAACCCTGTCTCCAGGCTCCCCACCTCCCGCTCCCCAGGGACTGGCGGCTCTCTCCAAGGACGACTGAGTCACGTGGTAAGGATGACTTCAGTCACTGATTAAAATGCGCCGCGCACACCCGCCAACACCACCACCATCATCACCATCATCATCATCGTCATCTCCACCACCGGGGCGGCGGGGCCGGGGCCGGGGGGCGGGGCCAGGCCGGCCGGACCTCCCAGCCGCTCACCCGTCAGAGTCCTCCCCGACTGTAATCCGAGTCCACTTCAGAGTCTTCTGAGAAGCCAAATTTGCTCTCTGAATCCCATCGTTGCTGGATCTGGAGGGGAAAACCGGCAGTCGGCAGGACGCACTCACCGGGAAGGCTCCGCTGGCCAACGGCGATCGATCTCCCCCTGCTCTCGGTGCCCCGTAGCCTTCCTCCTCCCTGCCTCCTCCGCTGCCACACGGCGGAGGGCAGCAAGGCCACCCAGCCCTTGAGCCCCTTGCTCGCCGTCCCCCCTTCCTAGGGAGGCCGTTTCTACAGCCAGGACAGTCCGGGGGTGAAGAAATGCCAACATTGAGATGGTGGTTGGCACCAAGCATGTTGTAAAAGCAAATGTTCACTCACTCTCCACTCGTTGATTCAGGAATGTGTAACTGCTTTCTGTCTGGTGATGTTTGTTGTTCTTTTGCAGGTAGGGGTAGTGTATAGTTAGTTGTGTGTGTGTGTGGGGGGGGGTGTTCTTTTAGCCTGTTACTGCATCCACACACACACACAAAAGCAGGAAGTAATGTCAGTTACAAATGGCTGACTTTTTTTTTAAGTCACTAGCCAGGCTCATACTTGTAATCCTAGCTACTCAGGAGGCTGAGATCTGAGGATAATGAATCCAGCCTGGGCAGGAAAGTCCAGGAGACTGTTATCACCAATAAACACACACACCACACACACACACACACACAGAGTTTATGGACAGCACCAACATTGAGTTCAAAGCCCCAGTAACTTTCCCAGGACACCAGTGCCATGGAATAACCTAGCATTGGTGCAACTCTATGTGGCCAGATGGGCTTAGTTACTTAATAGTAGTTAAGGATTCTCCCAAGTAGCTCCCAGGAGCTCTCTGCAAACACTTTCAAGAAATGGCACAGGCTCCCCTCCAAGAAGTGGGCACCAACCTAAGGGAAAGATGGTCCCTGGCACGGCTGTCCATGCAGTAGAACTTTCAGTGGGTGTGGCAGCTTCAGATGCCCCTAGACCACAATGCCCCCTTGCCTTTGCATGCTACAGATGCTCCCCCAAAAGTTTTCAGGTCCTGAAGCAGAAAGTTCCTTTTTGAAGGCTACCATTGAAGCAAACTAACTGCCTGGAAACCAGGTTGCCCCATCTAACCCCGTCCCATTAGCTAACTATCTCATTCCCTCCTTGCTATCCATGGATTAGCACTTTCACAGGGATGTGTGATATGAGCGATGATTCTTCTGATAATGCTAGATGGTACTTGAAGAACAACTTCTTTTAATGGTCAGGTTATTTTTTTCTCTAATAAACATAACTAGGCGACCCATGGCATCACAAATATAATTTGAGGTGAGTTTGTTATTGTTAAAGTCAGTTTAAAGTCAGTTGAGAGAGAGGGCTTACTAAATGAAAGTCAGAAGATGGTAAAAGTACTTGTAACTTTTATAATAAATGAGGTCAGGGAGATAGAAGCAGAAATCAATTCTGATATTGTCTTCCAACTTAGTCTCTAAGAATCTTTACCAGAAATCTGTAACATGGGGGAATGGGCTTTTAAGATGGTCTAATCAGGATGGTCAGAGGCCTGGTTTAGCCAGGCCTATCAGAGCTAGCAAGGATTCTAAGTGGCTGGCCTGATACAGGAGGAAGGACACTGGTACCCTAGGAAGGTTCCCAGCAGGAAAGAACAACCTGAGCACTTCCTGTCTTTATTCCTAGAAGTAGAATTCAGTAATGGCCTGATGTTGCTATGACATTAGGGGGCAGGGACACAGAAATTCCCACTACTGGTCCCTCTGATGCACCTTTTAGGATGGAAGCGAGAAGCTGTTCATGGGGCCTATCTTATCAGAACTACTCTAGTTTTTATGTGGTTATAAATGAAGAACTCTTTCATATCCACTCTGAATGTACACACACTACTGGTACCAAGGCCCTGAGACAGTCCACTTTCTGACCACCACCCGCCGCCCCACCCCCCATCCACCCTTAGGGATTCACAGCTGGATGACAGGAGGAAAGATGCTCACATGCTTTAGGAAACTTTTCATTCCACATTTGTATTCCGTATAGATCTCCAGCTTTGGAGGTCTTCCAGCTAGGACGAAGAGACATCAAATGCATTAGGGCTTGTGGGGTACAGACAGGAAGACAGGAGGTTTACTGGCATTCCTAGACACTGTTAAATCCACAGTCACACACACACACACACACACACACACACACACACACATGTTCACATGCACATACCACCCCTGCCACACTGCCTCTTCACACATACATTATTTTTCATAGCTGCAGCCAATGGCAAAGGTCTCCATTGGATTTCTCTTTCCCTTGCTTAGATATACTTCTTTTTTTTGGGGGGGGGGGTCCAGTCGTGGGGCCTGAACTCTGGGTCTGGGCACTGTCCCTCAGCTCTTCAGCTCAAGGCTAGCGCTCTACCACTTGAGCCACAGCGCCACTTCCGGCTTTTTTCTTTTTGCTTATGTGGTGCTGAGGAATCGAACCCAGGGCCTCGAGCATGCAAGGCAAGCGCTCTACCACTGAGCCACCTTCCCAGCCCCCTTTTTTTTTTTGTCGGTCGTGGGGCCTGAAAGCTGGGCCTGGGTGCTGTTCCTCAGCTCTTCAGCTGAAAGCTAACACTCTACCACTTGAGCGTCACCCCCACTTCCGGCTTTTTCTGCTTATGTGGTGCTGAGGAATCGAACCCAGGACCTCATGCATATAAGACAAGCATTCCACCACTGAGCCACCTTCCCAGCCCCTGCTTAGATATACTTAGGACACACAGCAAAGCAACAAGGTGGGTGACAGGAAGGAGGAAGAAGAAATGCAAAAGGCCTCACTTAAATGGCCTCAAACTCTGGAAGGCATAAGATCACATGAATATCATGGTAAAGAAAGACTGAACATGAATATAAAATAGTAGTTTATCATGGGACTCACATGAATTGGTATGGTTTGAACCATACCCCCAAATCTGGTGTACCTGTAAAATAGAAAGCTAGCAGTAAATTCCATCCATCCAGAGAGGGGGGTCCAGAGCCTGTAATTTTCACACTTGGGAAGATGACACAAGACTAGTGTAAAGCCAATGTGGGCTACATAGCAAGATCTTGTCTCAAAACAAAACAAAAAGGAAAACAATAACCCCCCTAAAAATCCCAAAGCCAACAATCCAGTCCAGGCCAAAAATAAAAATTAAAAAAATTCATGAGGCACCATTTTGACTAATACAAAAGCTAGACATGGTGGTACATGCCTGTCATCTGAGTTACCTGGGAAGAATAACTAGTAGGATGACAGTTCAGGGCAGCCTGGACAAAAATTAAGACTCTATTTGAAAAATGATGAAAGCAAAAATGACTAGAAGCATGGCTCAAGTGGTTGAGGGCATTTCTGGCAAGCATAAATCCCTGAGTTCAAATCCCAGTACTGGGAGGAGAAACAAAAATCAAACAAACAAAAATGCCAACCACTATTACAATAAGAGAAATCTAACCAAGTTCCTTTATTGGTGCTGTGCCACCCTGAATCCAGAAAAGGCCCTCTGACCCTGATGTCAAAAGCCACTGTAGTATCAGGAAACAATAGTAAAATGGACAGACAAAATTGGGGGAAATATTTACAAAAGATAGACAAAATAATACTAGTATTGGAATAATAATGCAAATATGCAAACAGCTTATACAAATCAATAAGAAAAAAAATCCTAATAGAAGAATGGTCAAAGAAATAAGACTGTGTTATTTATGGATTCCATATTTCTGAAATCAAAATGCTAATATTTCTGTGTCATCCTGAAAATACACATAGCACTTCTGAAGTCATTTGTGGACACACACAGGGCAAAAATATTTGGTTCACATGACACCCTTTCCCAGGTAGGGCGAAGCTTGGCGAACAGGGAGTTGGTTGAACTCCCACCTTCTCATCCACATCCTTTCCAGTCGTTTTAGAGCCTCACTTTCTGTACTTCGGGGGCTTTTTTTTTTTAAGTATTAGGGTTTGACTCAGGGCCTCAGACTCTCAGCTTTCTTGCTTGCTTGACTATGTTGGAAACATAGTCTCATAAACTCTCCTGCCCAGGCTGGCTTCAAACCTCGATCCTCTGGAACTTAGCCTCCTGAGTGTAATATTCGAGGCTTGAGCCGCCAATGCCCAACGTTTATGTAGTTTTGTTGTTGCCTGGTGATCTCCAAGCAACAGACTCACCACACTGTGCTTCATATCCACTGGGTTCTTCAAGGCTCCGCTTACCCCAGGAGGAAGTTCTATAGGTAAAGGGAGAAAAGGAATCAGGATTGCACCCAGAGCTAGAAGAACATCTCTTACATCTCCAGTTTGGTGATTCCCCTGATTGTACACAACACATTGGATTAAACACTCCATGTCATGTGTCATTTGTCACACCATCATTTAGCACCTATCCACAGAAAAGAAGGAACCAGGCAGACAAGACCAAACCAAGAAAATTTATAATGAACCTTCTATGCTTTGAGGAAGGGCAAACATTTTATGTCTAAAACATTCTTCTCTGACAGTTTAGAATCCAGAGGAAACCAAGTCTGTGCAAAAATTCCAGGGCTACTCATTTATCTTCAGGTCTTGAGCAAACCAGATACCATTGTCAAAGCCACCTGGCAGAGATAAAACTTGTATGATCTTAACACTGACCCCCTTGAACTGGGCAGACATGAATGACTTGCAGGAAGTTTGTCAAGTTAAGCAACCATCATCATAACCCAGTTGGAAAGCCTTTCCTACCATAGCCCCAGAAAACCACACTCCATTTCATTATCCATTTGCCTGTACTGGACATTAGCTAAGGAATTATATGTATATATATTATATATATAATATATATTATAATATAATGGTAGTGGTTGATAAATCAAAGGAGTAAAAGTAGTACCTACTATAATAATCTTTCCACATTTAAATGGATTTGAAATTTTATTTTATGACTAAAAGAATAAGCCACTTATTTATTTGCCTTAGCTTCATAATTATGAGAAGGCTATTACCATATTTTAGAGATGGTTAAAAAAAAACAGTTTAGGGAAGCAGACACAGGCATCACAATTGCATTTGAGCTATTACCTTTGAAGTTAAGAACCTAATTTCGGTCTGAGATTCAAGATGTAGAACAATGCCTCCCCTTTTTCCTCTCCCCTCCTACGTAACTCCAGCCCCTCTTATGGGCAGACACCCACCCAAATCGCCCCAGCGCCCTATAGTCACCCCGCAGAGTGCTCCGGTGAGGTTCACAGGCAAAAATCAATTGCAGCCACCCCTAGTGGCTATTGTGCCTGCAATAACAGATGGCATCTGTGACCTTCTTAATAACAGGCCTGGCTGCCAGCGTCCCCGGTGTCCAGACTCTGTGGGGAATCTGGAAACTGTTGCCTTACACTTGAATATTTTCCGGTACACACATTTAACCATTTATTAGTCATTTTCCTAATTCTAATTTAAAACAGAGCAAAACAAAATTCCCAGCACCTGGAAGGGACGTGGGATTTCCTGCGCGGCGAGGCCGGAGCAGGGCTGCTCTTGGCGTATGTCCTCCGGGTGTGAGCAGGGCTTCCGGGTCAGCCACAGTGCTTATCTCGTCGCCTAGACTGATTGGTGGGCAGCACAATCGACCTTTCGTTATTTTTTTTTTTTTTGAAATTTAATAGACAAGTGAGCCACTTACCCAGCAGTGTCTCTCCACAGACACTCCATGTGGGAGCCTGTGAGAAGCCGAGTAGAGTGCTGGCCTGGCATGCATGAAGCCCTGGGTTCAATCCCTCAGCACCACATACACAGAAAAAGCCAGAAGTGGCACTATGGCTCAAGTGGTAGAGCTCTAGAGCCTTGAACAAAAGAAGCTAAGGGACAGTACTCAACCAAGTTAAAAAAAAAAAAAAAGAAAGAAAGAAAAAAGAGAAAGAAAAGAAAAAGATCCCATTCTCCATCAATAAGTAAGTACTGGCCCTTCCAGCTATGTATGAGCGGCATTCTAACACTGTGTTCTAATATAACCCAGGGAACCCAGGAGATTCATTGAAAAGTAACTGCTAAAAACAGGGGTAGCTGTCTAACGCCTGTCTAACAAGTGCAGGGAAATGCGTTTAATCTATATACACACACTTGCGCATGCACACACACATACAGCAAGAAAGAGATTCTGATAATCTCTCTCTTTTAAAAATTACTCTTTTTATTAATTTTATGTTATTGTAAAGGTGCTGTACAGAAGGGTTACAGTTAGGTGAGTAAGGAAATGAGAACATTTCTTGCCGAGCATTGTTACTCCCTCCTTTGTTGTTCTCCTACTAACCTTTTACTTCCCCAAGTCCTAGGATTGGCAATAAACAATTAATTAATAAGCCACCCTGCTCTGAGCACCCTGGGAAGTGTTGGGCGGCCAGGGAGCATGGGGAGGGAGCAGCCCATCCCACACAGCAGCTTTGCTTTCATGGAAGGCAAACAGGGGTGACCCCCACGGAGAACACAGCAGCATCCAAGCTCATGCGGAGTCTGCAATGGGGCCTCTTGAAGCATCAGGGCCGGTACCAGGCCTTGGTGTAGAAAAATGGGGATAACACCCCAGGCCGTGCAGGGTGAGTAGGGAAAATTCAGGAAGGTTGTGTGGAGTCTCACAGAAACGAAGTCTCTTTTATGGGGGAGAGGGAGGTTGGTGGGCTTCCTGCCTGGGTCCTTGCTCTGTGGACCTTAGGTTGAGATTCTGGCCTGCAGCTAGAAGAGGGGGTGCTCCCTGGGGAAGCCCAAAGGGGGAGCTCCATTGTTGGGGTGGGGGAGGGGCAAGCCCAGGGCAGGATTCTTGTCTGTGAGTACTCTGGCTTGCCCCAACCCATCTGGCTCCAACCTCCAGGATCACAAAGCTGTGGACACAGTCCAAAACCAGCACAAGAGGAGCCGAGGCAGGACCGAGACGAAATCGATGAAGCTTCACAGCCACTCACCCCACCCCACCAAGAAAGAGAAGACAGGACCAGCCTGCTCTCTCTTCCTACCCCGTCCTGAGATGCTACCACCTGCTCACAGTCCCATGCCTACAGTTCCAGTCTGGGCTTGGTGAGCACATTATAGAATCTTGGGAGAGATAGGAGATGTGTGTATCACTAAACCAATTAAAACCATGCACTCGTGCTACTCTGCCATGCCTTATTTCATTTTTAAAGTATTACAATATTATGGGCTGCTACATAGGGTTCTAAAGGCTTCCTATATTCTCTTTTTTTTTAAGTACTGAAAATTGAACTGAGGCCCTTACACTTGCTAAGCAAATGCTCTACTGCTTAAACTACACAACCTAATTCTTTCACCTTTGGTTTGATTTTCAAATAGGGTCCTGTTTTTGCCTTGGCCAAACCTTGGACTCTGTCTCCCAAGTAGCGAGGATTACAGGCATGTAACACCATGCCTTGTCTAAGAGCTATCTATATTCTAATTTTAAAAGCAATTTATCACTTGCCTTTCAGAAGAAAAATTATCCACAAGGAATTAGCTATGTAAAGAAGTACGGTGTGGAAACAACCCAATAAATAATGCAATGATGGACAATGACAAGGCATCTAGTTTTCGCTGAGCCCTGGGCCAGGTACTAGAGATACATGGACAAATAAGACAGACAAGTTCCTGCTCTCATGAAGCTTATTTCTAGAATGAGATAGTAAACAAATGCAGGTAACTCAGAGAACGCAAAGCCACATTAAGAAATGAAGAGAGAGAGAACATGAATAATTTACTGTTAGACATGGTGTCCGTGTTTAGTAGCCTCTCTGAGACGCCATTTAAATTAAGACCTGAAGGATGCAGCATAGCAGAACTGGGAAAATAATGTTCCAGAAAAGAGAACAGTCTGTAGTAAAACCCCTGAAGCACCAAATGGCTTCAGCATTCTCAAGTTACTAACAGAAGCAGAAGAGAACAAGCAAATCTGAGCAGAGGGATGGCATGAGAGCGCGAGGCCAGGCCAGGCCACAGCCACACGACTTTGTGTGGGTTTGCGAAGGAATCAAGGTTTTACTTCAAGTCCAACAGCAAACAGAAAATTGGTGTCATTTGCTTTAGATTAAGATCTGGAGGGGCTGGGAAGATGGCTCAGTGGTAGAGCGCTTGCCTTGCATGCCTGAGGCCCTGGGTTCGATTCCTCAGCACCACATAAGCAAAAAGAAAAAAAAAAGCCGGAAGTAGCGTTGTGGCTCAAGTGGTAGAGCGCTAGCCTTGAGCTGAAGAGCTGAGGGACAGCGCCCAGGCCCAGAGTTCAGGCCCCACGACCGGACCCAAAAAAAAAAAAAAAAAAAAAAAGATCTGGAGAGCTGGGCACAGGTGGCTCACGCCTGTAATCCTAGCTACTCAGGAAGCTGAGATCTGAGGATCACAGTTCAAAGCCAGCCCAGGCAGGAAAGTCTGTGAGACTCTTATCTCCAATGAACCACTCAGAAAACCGGAAGTGGCACTGTGGCTCAAGTGGTAGAGCGCTAGCCTTGAGCTGAAGAGCTGAGGAATAGCATCCAGGCCCAGAGTTCAATCCCCACAACTGGAAAAAAAAAATCTGGAGAATGGATTGGGCCCACAAGAAATAACTTAATGGGGTAGTCTGGTCAGTTCTAACTGCTGGTTGAGGTCTTTCAAGGTTTGGAGGAAGTGGAGGAATACAAAGGGAATTGAAGGAGCAGGAGAAAAATAAGGATGCTAAAAAGAAAGAAACACAAATGCTATGAAATTATATTTCAAATAACATGCATCTTGACTGTGGCTTGGTTCTTATCAATATTCTCCTAGACACTGGATTCCTTGTAAAGGACTATAGACCACTGAAGACGTTCCAGGATGCTGCCTTAGAGACTTGAAATTTGTTGTCTGTGGTTAGAAAATATCTTGAGGATGTGTGTTGTAAGCGTTGACATTTTTATATTGTATAAAACCTCTTGCAGTACATACTGCATCCCTTGAAATGGCGAGACTAGGAGAGATCATCTACCCTACTTATAAGGCCATGCTCCAGCAGCTCAGGGGCGGGACATGGGGCAAGAAGACAACAGGCCAACACAGTGTTCATTCCTTCTCTTTATTCCTTGCTCTTTATACCAAAGAGTCCATAGAAAGTCAAATGTACTGTTTATTTTATTGCAATTTTATGATACTCAATTTTGATTAGTTTGAAAGTGAGAGGCAAGTATTCATCCAGGGAACCAAAGCAAACACTTGGAAAGAAAGTTAATATTAATACAAAAGGAAAACCACCTTAAAGAAGGCAGAATTCTCTGAAAGGCAGTAGTGAGAAAGCATGAGGACTTTGTCTTATGATGATTGTGAATCACATTTTAAATGGTACATCTGATCCGCCTACTTATGAATAGAGTACAGCAGTAAGTTACAAGGGGACAATTAACAGATCAATGTCTACTAGTGGTGATCACATTCATATGGCTGGCTTGTGTTGACAGCATTATCTTTTTGTTTCATGTTTTAACTCCCTTGCATGGGGGCCTTCTAGCACAATTAAAGTTGGTTTAAAAAAAATGAAAGAAAGAAATTGAGATAGAGAAAAGGAAAAGAGGCATAATGTGCCCAAATCAAACAATATTGCCTTAATGTACTGTTATCTCCCAATGAAAAAGGAGCCTTAATTATATTATTAAATATGTGAAGAAGGCAATATGGACATATTAATCATCATAATGAACATATTTACTTATGTTACTTTACCTTGTGTAGGTGTACTGAGGTTGCTCTTTGTGCTACTCAGCTCAGATGCCTTGCTATGAATGGTATGATAAAGCTGCTTGATTTCCCACCCACTAGTCCAGACTTGTAGTGTGTTTTTATGCTCCTCTTAGCAAGGAGAAGAAAAAGTCTGTCCTGATTTTCACAGCAGTATAGGTAGCTACCTTCCCTGTCCTCTGCATCAACATAGCATAGAGGAACACTTAAAACTCACCTCAAAAATACTATTCCTATTGTGTATTAGAAAAGCCAACAGAACAGAAGCTTGAAGGCAACTGTTAAAAACTCATCTCCATTAGTGAGAAATTACCCACAAGGGCTACCTGCAGGATGCTTTTCCATCATCCATTCCTTACCCCCCACCCCGGACTAAAACCTTAAATGCTTCATCAAATGGTCAAACATTACCAGAAGATTCTGTGATGTGCCTACAATTTTGAGATTACAATCATGAGTCATCATCCCAGAGAGCTGGAAGTTGTGGGAAACACCGACTGCATCTCCTCGTCAGAGCCACAGCATGTGTGGCAGCACCGGCAGCTGCTCCCTTCTGTAATGTACAGTTGCTGCTAGGAGGTGGCCCCTGGGCCAAGGAATTTCTGCCCGAGCTCTTAGGCACCGTGATGGAATGCACAGAAACGATGACTGCGATTTCCATGCGCCTTTCCTTCCCTTCACCCCCACCTGCCGAGTGGAGACAAAGGACACTAGGACGGAAGCCATGATGGAGGGAAAAGGAGTTCGTGTCCTTCCAGACCAGATGGGAGGTGGCATGGCTTGGAGCCAGGCAGATCCCCCGTCTTCAGGGCTCCATGAGGAAACACATGTGCGCACAGGGGAAGCACCTGGCTCCTCCAGCCCACTCCTGGAGCCCGCTCCTTTCTCATCCCACTCAGAGTATGGAGGAGTTGGGTGGGTGAAGGGAGCCAGGATCAAAGAGCAAAGGCAGGAACTCAGCTGTCAGAGCCCAGAACTCAAGGACCATGGATCCTACTTACTGCTTCAGTGGCTTCACCAAGAAGCCCACCCATGAGTGCTTGGGGTACCCCACCTCCAGACCCCAGGTACCCCCAGGGCTCCGCATGCCTCCCACCCTGCATACAGCAAGTGTGAGCCTCTGCAGATGGCCACAAGGACAGACAGTCTGTGGGACGGTGAGGAAAGCCTACGTGACCCCTGGCTGCAGCAAGACAGCAAACACAAACACTAAGTCCGTACCTGAAGGAGACGCGAGAGAGAAAGGAGCATGCTATTCTTTGATGAAATAATGACTGGAAACTTCCCGATTCTGGGGAAGAGTTACTTTCGTCCACGTGCAGGAAGGCTCAAAAGCTTTCATAACATATTCAACCCACTGAGAACCTAATAGAGACTCACTATCATCCAATTGGCAATAATCAGACACAGAATTTTGGAAGCAGAGAGACTCCTCTCGATTTCCAGTTTGGTTTCAAAGCTAATGTAAGTCACAACACTATGGTACCAGCATGAAAACTGTCCTGTAGATCAGTGGAAAACAATGGAGATCTCAGACATAAACCCACGCATATACTGTTAATGGACATTCAAGAAAAACACCAAGAATCCGTAACATGGGATGGATAGTCTCTTTAAAATGTGACACTGGGAAAGCTGGGAAGAAATTCAACTCTATCTCACAACATATACCGAAATCAATTCAAAATATAGTAAAGACCTGACACTCTTGACATGAGTCTTAACAAGGATTTTGTGGCTAGGAGACCAATAGCATGGAAATTAAGGCAGAAATAAATAAGACTACATCAAACTAAAGTTTCTACTCAGAAAACAGTCAACAAGTGAAAAGGCTTTCCTCCCATTTCCCGCCAGAGGGCAGGACGTGTTGCTCTCTTCTATCTATTTCTCTCTACTTCATTCTGATATATGCTAAAATAAATCCTTGATAAAGCTTAACAACAAAATGAAATGGCACTTACATAATCATAGGAAATTCTTACATGTCATATTTCAGAAAGGGGGCTACTATAAAAATATATAAAGAACCCGTGCAACTCAATTGTAATAATAATAATAATAAATAATATACTGATTGAAAAACAGATAAAGAACTTCAATAAGCATTTTCCCAGAGAGCACATAGAAATGGCCAGATGTCCACAAAAAGCTGCTCCATATAACTAATTTTTTTTTTTTGGGTCCGGTAGAGGGCCTGAACTCTGGGCCTGGGCGCTGTCCCTCAGCTCTTCAGCTCAAGGCTAATGCTCTACCACTCGAGCCACAGTGCCACTTCCAGCTTTTTTTTTTTTTCGGCTTATGTGTTGCTGAGGAATCGAACCCAGGGCCTCATGCATGCAAGGCAAGCGCTCTACCACTGAGCCACCTTCCCAGCCCTCCATATAACTAATTTTTAAATAACTTTTAATGTGATTAAGTGATTAAATAAATTTTACACATTTCACAGTACTGTGAGACAGTGATACTTAAAGTCACAAACACATTCTAAGTTTCATGAAGCAAATTGTCATTATTGTGGTCTATAAAATTTGTGAATTCTATGAGCTTTGACAATACAACTATTTCTTCCACATCAGGTGGTATGTACATGTCTTTTCTTTTAGTTCAACATCACTAATTTGACAGACTAAGCAAGCCACAGTAACACATCACTTGGGTCTTTTTGAATGACTATTATTGAAAACTCATGAGATAGTAAGTACTAGTGAAGACAAAATACAAAGAGAACCTTTATATACTATTATTGGAATTGTAAACTACTTGAACCATTGGAAAATAGCATGAAGGTTCCTCAAAAAATTAAAAATAGAATTACTATATGGTCTAGAAATCCCACACCTGGGTATATATCAACAGACACAAAATCACGATCTTGAAAGGCTATCTGAACTCTCATGTTCATAGCAGCATTATTCACAAGAGCCAACATATGGAAACCACCTGTGCCTGTTGATGAATGCATGAATGAAGAAAATGTGGCACATACGTGCAGCAGAATATATTATTTGGACTTTAAAAAGAAGGAAATCTTGCCATTTGTGACAAGATTGGATGAACTGGAAGGGCATGATTTTAAGTGACATTAGCTTGGCACAGAGAGACAAGGGCCACATAATTTCACTTACATATGAGAATTCAAAACAAGTCAAATGAAATAAGCCAAATCATAGTTACTGTGTGTGTGTGTGTGTGTGTGTGTGTGTGTGTGTGCGTGCGTGCGTGCGTGCCAGCCAGTCCTTCAGCTTGAACTCAAGACTTGGGTGCTGTCTCTGAGCTGCTTTGAGCTCTAACATTTGAACCACACCTCCATTTCTGGCTTTTTGGTTGTTAATTGGAGATAAGGGTCTCACAGACTTTCTGCCTAGACTGGCTTCCAACCATGGTCCTCAAATCTCAGCCTCCAGAGTGGCTAGGATTACAGGCATGAGCCACCAGCACCTGGCAGTCCATATTTATTGTAGAGAGGGCAAAAAAGACATGTTGGCCAAAAGATGACAACGTAGGGATATGAAATGAATTATTACTGGAGATCTAATTTATGGCATGATAATTAGGGTTAATGTATTGTATTGCATATCAAAACTTGTGAAAAAAGTAGATATCCAGTATTCTTATCACACACATAATAACTGTGTAGAATGACTGATGTATTAAGAAAATGTATTGCAGTAATCATTTCACAGTGTATGCATACAACAGCCTGTTGTACTTTATAAGTACATGCAGTTCACATCTGTCAATCATACTTCAGTTGAGCGAGGGTAAAAAGATAAGTTAGACACACAAGAGGCGGTGTGAGGAGGAAGCGATCCTGTTGTACCTACCATTTATAGCGTCTTGAGACCAAGGCTGGCTGGCTGGATGTTCAGAGATGTTCAGTAAAGACATCCTAAAGAAAAAGCAGCAAGACACAGGTCCTCAGTCTGTGTTTAGAAGTCACACAGAGCTTGGGACATACAGAGAATTTCTCACATCTTTCCCTTTGCTTTTTTGAACTTTTGCTTCTTCTCTTCCCCTCTTTCCACACTCCCAACCACAACCCCACAAGCCCATTAAAGCAACCCAGGTTGGACTTTCTCACTCTCTTTAGGGAGTGGTTTGTACTCTGGTTTATCATCCAGGGATAAAAATCTCAACTTCTGCACATGAGAAGCTTAAACATTAAATTCATAATTATTTCAACACGATTTATGAGTGTTTCTCCAGGGAGCTGCTTTCAAAATAAGATAAGTGCTATGCATGGAAGAGGAAAGATTACAGTAATTATACTGGTTTCCAAATAAAACTTAAGATTTAATGGCAGTGGGGTAACTTGGGGACTCACAGATGCTGTGTCTATCCTTTGCACACGGTATCTCAATTTCCCTGAAGCAGACAGGGTGTTCTTTTTAGCAAGCAGAGCCTTACTGGGAAGCACAAGTTGTTCTGTATGAAGTGGAAAAAGGCATTCGCTCGTAGATGGTCACAAATGGTGGAAAATGCTTTAGGACTCTGGCTGAGGGAGGAGGGGAAAGGAGGTGACAAGTGGATCTGACACTGGCCTCCAGGACCCTGCGATGTCTCTATTGTACATGTGCACACTCACACAGACACATGCCTCCTGCATACCATCCTACCTCTTTGCTTCTTTCTCTTAAGTTATAGTAGCAAAGTCATCAGAGGGTATAACATTTGTAAATGTGGTTTTTGAATCCAACGCCTAATAAATTACTTTTCAGTAGGTTTGGGACAGATGGTTTGGTACAGAATCACTTATTTGCTTCTCTTTATATATTTTTACACTTAAAAAATAATATTCCTTCTTATATGTATCAAAACTCATACTGATGGGGGCAGGGGGTGACAATGTCCAAATAGAAATGTATTTGTTACCTGACTTATGTAACTAACCCCTCTCTGAATAAATATCACCTTTAAACTAACAATAAACTCATACTGACCAATGAATTCTGAGGGTTATTTTGCACCTGTCTGTAAATCTTTGTTCACAAATTAAAAACACACAAATGCTACCCTTTTTATGTTTTGTATCACATTTTCTTTATATGTTTTCTAAGTCACCAAATATTTTGATGTAGGCTGATTTTAAGTATGTAATTGGAATTATACAGCATACTTTTTTTGTTGGTGGTGGTCATGGGGCTTGAACTCTAGGCCTGGATGCTGTCCCTCAGCTCTTTAACTCAAGGCAAGCACTCTACCACTTGAACACAGTACCACTTCTGGTTTTCTGGTGGTTAATTGGAGATAAGAGTCTCACTGAGGGGCTGGGAAGGTGGCTCAGTGGTAGAGTGCTTGCCTTGCATGCATGAGGCCCTGGGTTCGATTCCTCAGCCCCACATAAGCAGAAAAAGCTGGCAGTAGCACTGTGGCTCAAGTGGTAGAGCACTAGCCTTGAGCTGAAGAGCTGAGGGACAGCGCCCAGGATGAGTTCAGGCCCCATGACTGGCAAAAAAAAAAAAAAAAAAAAAGTCCCAAGAGTCTCACTGACTTTCCTGCCTGGGC